AATGCTCATTTTTTCCCCTTTTAATTAAAACAAGATATTATGCGTGATTTTTTTTTTTTAATTATGGAGGGTTACCCTCCGATGACACCCACCCTCCAAAAAAAAAAAAAACACCCCATCCCCAAGGCAAAAACAAAAAAAAAAAAACGATCCCCCTCTCCGTGAACTCCTTGAACTACGACCGGCCTCTGTTCACCAACCCCGTGAACGGTGAACTAGTAGGGCACTGCTCGCCACACCACTCTTGAAAACTTTTTTTCAAGAGTTGCGACGCCGCCACACATCCTCTTGAAAGCTTGCAACCAAAAGGAAATTCAAAATGCCCGCCTCCAACTGTCGAGATTTCAAACGTCCTAGGCCCTGTGGTCGATGGATGCTTGGTTTTCAAGAGGTGTCAGGTCGTAACGTCTGACACCTGTCAGCAATTTTGGAGTTGGTTTTCAAGAGTCTACTCTTGTGGTTTCGGACATGGTCCCGACGATGGGCCGACATCGGACACTGTTTCGGACCCATTGTGGTCCTGGACTCCTGGTCTAGTGAGCGTTGGCGGGCACACTGGCGGAAGCAAACAGTGCTTCATGGCGAGGATTCCGGGCATCTCCACCCCTATGCTCCGCGCCGCTATGTCCAGTACCGGCAGGACGCCGCCCACACTCTACCCAGCAATGCCGTCTCGTCGACAATGGAAGCCAAGTGTCTGCATGCCGCATCTGCCATTGCTTGGCTGGTTCCTCCGCTGTGGCTGCAATTATGGACTGTGGTCTCACGTCACCGTTTTTGCTGACGTGACATCAATCCCGAGGCAGAGTGACGCATGTCGGCGGTCGGGACATGTTGACGACTGCGCCTATTGGGATCAATGTTGTGCCCCGCATCCGAAGGACGTCCGCGCATCTGCAGTGTGTATCCTCGGTGGGGTTGGGTGCTATCTCTGACTTCGCCATGTCAAAATCGAACATCGCAGAGGGGTCCCGTGTTGTGCCCGAGAAGGATTGGAGAATGGGGTTCCATTGTTGTTGCGTGCCTCCCAGGATGGATTCTTCTGCTGTCCAGGTTGAGAAGGGGTGTGCCCAAGGTCGGATGGCAGGGGTGGGGATGGGGCTGTGGATTTGTTGGGTCCGGGAAAGGGCAAAGGGCACTGTTCGGTGGTAGGACATGTACGTGGTTCTTTTTCTCGAAGCATGGAGGATCAATGTGGCATGCTCACCCAGGTGTATCGCCACCCATGTCGATGAAGTCCCTGCCTTTATAAGATGGTCGGCGGTGCCGGCGGTGAAGTGTGCACGGTTGCACCTGCAACAGTCGCCGGAATGGATACTTGCGTCTTTGCAATCCGGCGCGGTGTGTGGGTCCTCTTTTCACAAGTTCTCAGCAGTCGAAGGTAAGCGATTCCAAGCTGCTCACACATACTTTCAGGGCAGGGATGGAACTTTTTTTTGGGGGGGGCATGGAAGCCAGCAGCACGGGGATGGGGGCATCTCTGATCTTCCTCTCGCCTTCCACTTGAATGAGGACAGCTCATCCTCTGGGGTCTCCATCACGGAGGATGCGCCTTCGTACAAACTTCAAGTAGAAGCTCCCTTGCCGGCAAATCAGTATCCTCCTAGCGTTGCTGGTGGCAAGGCATCCTCAACGCATATGTGATGTTTGACAAGTGACACTGTCCCGTACTTTCCTACACCGGGTGTACCAGCGAGAGTGTTCATGACACCGGATTCAATGGCGAGGCAGGGGGCAATGCTATTGCAGCACTGTGACAGGGTAAATTTCTTCCACCGACTATCGCAGATGCCATTGCTCGTCGTGTGATAGTGAGTAGCCAGCTGTCGGACATGCATGCAAGTATCCTATCTGACGTAGCCTAGGGCGGCCACCACGTTGGTGATGCCATCATGTCGGTGCGGCATAGACAAGGTGGTCGTGAGGATCGTCGCTTCTCCGTTGGGTCTGTGGGACTTGCTACTGCGGCCAAGTTGACTCCGCACATTGCCAATGTCGTTCGGGAACAGAGCACGTGGTGGAGAGGCAGTTCCACCAACGTCGCCAGGGAGTGGGCAATTTGCAGGCGTTCCAACGACTTGCCATGGTGGAACTGCTGGGCAATTGACTCCCTCTGAGGTGCCCTGTTCGGATTTAATTACACCTCTACCTTAGGGGATGCCGCACGGTGAGAACGAATGTGGCGAGGGAGAGGTTGTTAAAGAGGTGACTGGGCAGGGTGGCAGTAAAACGCAAGCAGGGAGGGGTCGTGGGCGGTCTACGCACTCTCTTAAGGGCACTCTTGTGAAAGACAGATCAAGTGGTGGAAGTGCAAACGCTGACGGATGTTCAAAGCCGGGAAGTGTTCATAGCTCCGACTCCCCGGACGAGAAAATGAAGACACAACAAGGATGCGACTGGACAGAGGAGGAAACGATCTCGCTCAAAAGAGAAAGCAAGATGACGACCTGGAGAGGATAACATGTTATTCGTTAAAATAGGACATTATATTGTGTCCTCTTTGGAACAAATTCATTTTTGGCTTCATCCTAAGCAACATAGGCACGCCCATCCGCTCGCCCCAAATGCGAAAGCGTGTTGAGATCCATACTTGTTAAACTTTATAAATGAGATTAGCAAGGTGTCATGATTGAATTATTGGATGATATAATTCTTTAGGTTATCCCTAAGTTGCACAGACATGTTTTCTCCTCTCGGCCGAGAATGTTGTTCGGATGTTTGATGAGATCCTGACTTCCCTAGAAGACTAAGTGTAATGGGAGGCATGCCCATCCGGAAACCCTGTGCAAAAGTGTGTTGAGATCCATACATGTTAAACTTAACGTTTATAAAATTAATATGATGAGCAAGGTGTCATGCTTGAATCCTTGTTGGACAAATTAAATACATTTCTTTAGGTTATCCCCAAGTTATGCATGCATGCCCATCATCTCGCTTGTGACGATTGTTTGGATGTTGATGAGAGTCAGACTTCTTTGAAATACTAAGTGTGATGATGGGCATACCCACCATCTCGCCCGATATGCAGAAGTATGTTGAGATTTATACTTGTTTACAATTGTGATGAGGAAGGTGTCATGATTGTA